ATTGTGCATTAGAGTACAGTATGTGTCTCGCATTGTTTCATCCCTGTCCAGGCCGCTGCTAAACTGAATCAAGCCAATTTCTTTAAAAAATTTGTCTTTAGTTTGCAAAACGACGTCAGAGAACCGATTATCGATTACAAACCGATTACAAACAGAACCGATTATCGATGTTGTAACGCAACGGAGGTTCAGGTGGGCGCCCTTGCCGCATCTGGTCGGCCCCATCCCGACTGGAGGCTCGAACCCGGGACTTCCGCGTCTCTCTGCAGCAACCCAGCCCCGTGAGCTAAAGAGAGATCTCCCTACAGCCGTAGCTGTGGTCCTGCTATCACAGGGAAGGGCGGTGACGTCACCCGCTCTGGTACGCCGGCTCTTACACACAGTGCTTGTCGGCCGTAAGCGTTACACTATGTATTTCTGTTATACCGCGGTAGTTGTGTCCCTGGAAAACGCGGCGTTACAGAAAATGACATTATAGAAACGATTGGTTCAATGGGACTTAAAATGGTTAGGGGCTAAAGATTTCGGATTGTTCTACAGTAATTGGTCATATTATTGGTTTGAATGTATTACTTTTGGATAACATGTTTTTGCGATCATTATTAAACAGAAAACAGAAAAAAATAGATTTAAAAAAATAAGGCATAACATGCATCAGTCTTTACATCGCTAAGCGATGAAAAATTATGCAGCAGAGAAGGCTGCAACAAACATCGTTTAAATACACCCCGTTAGCGCGAACGCTATCGCGTTCTTTCGTTTCTCTCCTATGGCGTCATAACGTCAAGCTTTTGTTCCAGAGTAATAGCTTTCCTTTCCTTTTCACTTGCATCACACGCACCAATAGATTAAAAAAAACAGCAGAATGCTTCATATCCTTGTAACTCATAGTAACAGCTATATTTACATCTGTTTCCAAAGAATGAAAATATAGTAGCCGAGATACACAATTCTGTTACGTGTACAGGCTGGACAAAGACTTGCGGCGTGAGACGAGAGGCCACGCCATCTCTCAAGAGTGCGTTGCTGTGCTCAGCAGTAAGTACTATACGAGTGTTACTAGTTCCGGTATACTTCAATCGCGTTATATCCGACACGCACACGCGATATGAAAAAAGTGTTTCTTAATAAATTAATATTGGGTGCCTGCCTTTTAGAAATGAAAGGTCAATATTGACTAAAAAGAGCTGGAAAGCCAATTCGTCCGCTCATTGGTGACCGCCATATGAATGAGCAGACTGTTCAAATCGGTACAAAGAAATAATGGAACAAAAGTACTGAAAAACACCGTTGCTATACAAGCCTGTTTATTTTAGTGTGAAAGCATTGCACAGCAACATGTTTGTTATTAAGTGCACAAATCAATTCTAGGTAAACATCAAAGATATTGACTCAACTTACTACTGTTTACTGCCAGTCTTGTCCAATACATTTTGTGCTCTATAACCTAGTGCTGCATTAAGGCTGGAAACAAGATTCATCAGGAACACAGCCGGCAGTCTCAATCCAAAATACCTTATGAGTAGGGAATTGCTTTGCTGAACTTCAAAGGCTCAATGCGCACGCTTTGCATTACATTCATTCACTTCTGAGTGCTGGAGTTGGAAATTCGGGGCCTAGGTTCTGTCAGGCCACATAACACTTCATTTCATATCCATTCCTCCATTTGTGAAGACATGATTCTAATAGTGCATGCTTAGTATTAACCATAACGTCTCCCACATAAAGACAAGAAACAGCTTCACCAAACAGGTCTAACGCATCACATTTCCAATATATTATCATATATTTGTAAGGGAAGCATCTTCCAATTTGCTTGCTTTTTATTTCACCACCCAGACATCTGGACAGACATATCTATCTATCCCTGTGCATTTAAATACAAGTGACAGTGTCTGAGCATTGCTCCAGAGTCACAGTGTAACCATATATTACATGTATATTGTAAATTGAGGTGCGCAGAATGTGCCCACTTTAGTTAAAATGAGAAATGACAGTCAAGAATGTGACAACAATATCAACAGTTGTCAACTCAGAATGATCCATGAGAAGCCCATTTCACAAAAAAAGATCATGTATTTTAAAATGTACACAGCCCAATGCTACTGTACATTTAACATACTCCCTTGCCTTGCGAATTAATATGATCTCTGAGGTATCCTCTAAGTGAATGGTTATTGATTAATTTAGCTTTGTTCTTTACTTCTGTGTAATACTTGGGCTGTGACCCAGAGACATGAAGGCTGTTGCATAATTAAGTAAAGGCTGTGGCATTTCTAAATAATTAAACGTGTACTCCAGTTTTCCACGTCGATAAATGATGTGTCAACATCCTTGTACTGGGGAGCTGCAAGCCGGAATCATAGATTTCAGACATTAAAACTGTCTTCACAGACCAACTGTCAAGCCTTAAACACGTCCTTGATATAAATAAGTCCTTGATAAATATTTCATCCTGCCTGCATGAAGTATACTGCAGCTGCAAATGCTTGGGACTAGAGAGGTTCAGACCGGCACTTACCACTAAGGAGAGAGGCCTCTTCCAGGACACCACCCCGATCAGACCGGACAGCAGCACCTGGGAATCATCAGAGAACAGGTTGTTACCACCCCATGGGAAGCTGGCAATGCAGTAGGAAAGGTCATAGAATACTTACAGAACAGCCGAGGTTTCTCTCAAGATAGCCACAAACAGATAGGAGGATGCTGGGACTATGTACACCCACAGGGGCTGCAGGATCCTACAATATGCCATGACAGCAAAACCCCCTGTTAATTAACACTGAGAAGATAACAGGCGCTGCACAGAATTAATGTGAACTACAGAAAGCCGAAACAAAGAGCATTTTTTTAAAGAGTGCACCTGAATGTTGGAAAGCTCTTCCGAAGCCCGGTGCAAAAATCTGAACAAATCTCAAGCGGTTAAATTTGGGTGACGATCATGCCTTCATTTCATAAAAATAATGTAATGAAGCTGTGAAGTGCCACATTAAACATTTAGATGCTAATTGAAAACTCTCTCAAGGCAGTTGAAAGGTTCTCTGTTTTGGTTCTGCAACATTAAGACTTCATTTATTTTTCTTTTGGGGAAAAAAAATAGTGAACAGCCAAAACAAAGCACGGTGCTTTATGAATAATGGCTTTTTCATATATAACCGCTGACAGCATTAAAATGTTAATCAACTTCACAAGCAGCATCACAGACACCACCAAGAAGAAACCACTCATCTCTCTTCAAAGGGGTATCTTATGTGTAAAACGTTAGCTGCACCTAGAACACCCTTAATATCCTTACAGTACGTCAGGCAACTAGAGACAAGAAAGTAATGAAAACATGGTAGCCCCTTGAGGTGCTTCACACATATTATTTCCATAAATGTCACTCATGTCACCACCTTGCAGTCTACTCTTTTCCATGTTTTTGAAGCTAAGTAGGAGTGGGTCTGGACAGCACTGGGATGGGAAATCTTCAAGGAAATCTTCAAGATTTGCTCAAGTGGTATTGGTGGACCAGTAGGTTGGTCCCTTCCCTCTCGACTAGAATTTCCAAACAAATGCCCCACTATGATGACCAGGCACAATGTGCTGTAGAAGGTGCTGGTTTGTGGTTATGATGTTAATGTGAGTTCCAGATTTGATAATTAAAGATTCCAGGGCACTGTTCATAGGAGTAGAGATGTTAGCCCCAGTGTCCTGACTAAATTCCTATACTCTCCAATTGTACAGTCTGGCCCCCCAACAGTTCCCTCTTAACCGATTCATTTCTTCTCTATCCACTGTAGTGGGAATATTATGTGTCACCCATGTGGGAGCTGTACTTTCGTGGAGGATAAAGTGGGGCCCTCCTATCTGTAAAGCCCTTTGAGACCCTTTGAGGATGAAAATGCAAAGAATTATTATTCCTACTACTACACTACCCCACCAGCATGCCAAAATAAGATCCCTCCCTGTTAAATTCCAAAGCATGGATTAAGTTAAACTAAAAAAAAATCAATCTTTTCCTTTCCTATACTGCTACTGTAGATATTCACCTTTTTTACAGTTGACAATTTTACAATTACTTTCAGAATAACAGAACAAACACAGCTACGAAAAAACCCATAAAAGGCTACAAGATAAAATAATAAACAGATGTGTTACAAAAATATTCACTAAGTATATAGGAGGGACTGGACATTCGCTAGAGTTCAGTGCAGAGAACCATTGTGAACAGCCAAAGTAGCCCTCCCTTACTTGACAATCAAAGTACTAATGCATTGACTTGTTAATAAAGTTAATAAAAAAAACACTGATCAAGTAGAAGAAACAACCATTATCACGAAGTTCTAGAAATCAGGTATAATACAGTAAATAACATGAGTCCCTCCTCTGCATCCAGTAGATGCCAGCACTCTCTCTCTCTGCCTTTACAGCTAATACCCTGCTCCGTGATTAGCATGCCCCACTGTAATGAAAAGGACAATAAAACTAGCAGTGAGCCTGTAAAGTCATCTCCAGTCTGTCATCCACCGCGCCGCCGATAACAAACTGGCAGCTATCGTTAAAATGTAAAATCAAGCAAGGAGAGGCTCACTCACAAGTTAGGGTCGTCTCACCATCCTAGTCTTTTTCAAAACGAATTTCTAAATTGTGCTTTACAACCCTCAGCTTGGTTTCATCCCACTTTCCTGTTCTTCCACCCAAGACTGCGTTGGCCAGACCGAATCTCGAATAAGCTAATTTGCAAAAGTTAAACTCACAGATGTCAAGACCCTTCTGTACAAAAAAAACTTTCTGTCTTCCCAAACATGGAAAATAACACTACATTCACAGCGAGTCTACTTTTATTAGCAAGACCTGATTGTTTTGCGTGAGACCTACAGCATCCTGAGCAAAACGTTATGCCTCGTACCACCGACAAACATCACACATGTAGGTATGTTTCTCCATAGTATCAAATATTCATAAAACAGTCATGCACTTAAAGGCTTTCATAGACACAATCCTTCTTGTCAAATCCAGGCAACATAAAAAGTCAGAAACAATGGATCAATGGAATTTCATAGATGAAAAATCTGAAATGAGATCTAAAGAGTTGGGAAAAATTGAAACCAAAGTTAATTTCATTCCAGTCTGCTGTATCCAAGCTCCTTGTAAACGATGCTTCCAAAATCAGAACATGCCCACTTTTCACCCGCTCGCAGCTGGAGCTGAAGTTGTTTCAGAGGGCAGGAGCTAGTCTGTGCTTGAGCTTTGAAATGCCTGTGTCCATTGCAAGAAGTAAGACAAAATTCCTGCAGGGGTTTAAGCCTGAAGTGGTGCAACAGACATGAATTATTGGACACAATATTCCTCACACAATTCAAAATACAATATATGAATAACGCTTTTCAGATACAGGCTGACAAATCACTTGCCGCAATGAGAAGCAAAAAGATTTTTAACCGTATTAAAAAATAATAGCTTTAAACGCCGGCAAAAGAGGTCAGCGGGGCCTTTCAGAACTGGTCTGGAAAATCACGCCTATGGAATCACCACTATGCTCGTCACACTATAACCTTGTGATGAGAACAAAGAGCGCACTGTGGTACAAAGCTAAAGGAGGCAGCCAACATTTCCAAATGCCACAAACAAAAAGTAAAAATCTGTCCGTCTACCTCTGAATGATGACGTACTCTATTCAAAGGTAGGGAGGATAGATATCTGTGCCCAGGCGATGTCACAGAGAAAGCTTGATTTACAGGATTGCAAGTGCACTTGAATTAATCCTGCCACCTAACTCAGGTTTTCCGGTTCAAAAAAGATAATGGGCCGTTTTTTTTTCCTCTTTGTTTTTTCTCGATCCCGTGGGGCATTTTTTCCCACATAGTTTCAGAGTGAACCTCGACTTTCTATCGTCTTTCACATGAATTATTGATTTCCCATTCTGTCTGTATCGCAGCAGCTGTTAAAATATTCAGGAGAGGGGCAAGGACTCTGGTTTGTGTGGGCCAGGCCTTGTCCACTGAGCCCCATTCCAAACAAGGGCTGCTGAACATATGGACACTGTCCACCTCCTAGAGCGAATGTCTCCTGTACCCTTGCAGTGCTCCCGTGTATAATGGAAAACCTTCCAGAGATTCTCAGTTTAAACTGATCACTTTTAAATACACTTTTAAAAAATGTATAGCACCAACCATATTGCCTTTTTCCTCAAAGATTTTCTGTCACATTTTCTGGCCATTTTAGAAAGTTAATTTTCCACTCAGACTGTTCGCAGATACTCTAAATAAAAGTAAATCTCAATAAAACAATCATCCTTTTTTTCAATAGAACACAGTAGGTATTCTTTAGGGACGTTTTTTAAGTCTAATGTTTTATTCATTTCATTTGGCTTATACTTTGAAATGGTAAATCCACATTAGGATTCCCAGAGGCTGTTTTGTGCACCTGGAAAACATACGATAATTAGCATGTTGTTAACAACTGATATCGGTGACATTTAGGAGAAGGCAGGACAGAGGTCTAACTCCCCCTAATAGCAAATAGTAACAGTAGTAGACTGTTGTGTTCAGAAGAGCGTTTAATAACCTGACAGTCCCAAACCAGAAGTGGAGACAGTAGGAGAAATTGACAGGAAGCCTAGTAATGTATTTCAGGCAGACCCCTGCTCTTTCAGTGTCAGTTTCCATTAAGAGCAATGTTATTGTAAATACAATGCATCTCATGGGGTGGCTTATAGCTTTTCACGGTGGAAATTGTCTTTTCTTCATGTCTTTTGAAATGGCTCAAGACACAACTATTAGCAACGCTTATTTGCAGTTAAAATGCATCCAACGTTTTCAGTGTTGGCATGCTGGCTCCCCAAGTCTAGATTTACACAGAGAAATTAAACGCGTCAGAACCCTTGGCTGTAAGGTTAACCAATGAAGGACACATAACTGGTGGCTCATAACAGTTCAAAGACAGCAGGATACTTGATGCAGGGGCAAAGCGAGTTAACATTACTTTACTTTATTAACCCTTTACAATTTCTTGCATTAGGAATGATCTTTTCACATACCCCAGCTTGCTCTCCATGAGACACACAGACAGGGAGAGAGCCTGGGGTCAGAGCACAGGGTCTGCCATAGTACAGCACCCCTGGAGCAGTTGGGGTTAAGGGCCTTGCTCAGGGGCCCAACGGAGTAGGATTCCTCTGCCGGCTGCGGGATTTGAACCGGCAGCCTTCCAGCCACAGGCGCAGATCCTTATCCACAGAGCCACCGCTCCGCCCCGAGTTGCTTTATCCTTTTAAAAGGGGGCACCTACCTACAGCATACTGTACAAATTCTCATGCAGAATCTCATTTGTAATTTCCATTGTAATAAAGGCTGGTGGTCTCCCCGCAGCTAAACTGAACAGACATCTTAGAAATGCATAAGTGTTCCAGCTCTCTTATGACTGCCTGTTTCTCCCCTTCTGTTACTTGCATGCACAGTCCTGATCCTGCAGCAGTTAATGTTGAAAAAAAACACTCTCATTAACCGGAGTGAGCGCCGCACGGCACGCTGATTTATCTCTCCCCTCGGGAATGCATTACAGCGTTTACAGAAACTAGAAATTATACGGGTTTGACTT